CTTTTATGTCCCCAACTTTACATTTCTTTATTCATTCGTTCGCCATATATTTATTAAGCACTTTTAAAGTGCCCGGCCCACCCCGGGCTCTGAGGACCAGGAGTGCCTGGGTCACAACTGCCCCAGGCTGGCGTGGGCGACCATGAACCTCAGCCAGGGTCAGGGAAGGTGACATCCAGGCAGGGCCCGGAGGGGTGGACGACAGCCAGGAGGGCGCTGGGCCCAGCCACACACATTCACGAGCGGCCTTAAGTCTGGAGTGTGGTGGCACTGAGAGAAAGCTGTGTTCACCAGGCAACTCCAACTTCACAGCCCCGTCCTGCACACATGGCCTTTAGTGTGCTGAGGCACTTCTTTGAAAGAAATCCTGGAGTCGACATTTATATTGTGTTTGTTTGTGTCACAAGCATTAATTTGTTCAATATACATATTTAAACCACGCTGCAATTTTTATTCTCGCATCTAGGCCTTTCTTTTATATACACTAAGGTCCCAAAATGGAGGGAGTGCTTTGAGAGGCCCTGCCCCTGCACCAGGTCCTGTGAGGAAGGGTGTCCCCAGCCCCGAGCAGCAGGTACACCGGCACAGAGGCCCTGCTGTGCACGCACACATGGCCGACTGCAGCCCAACAGGGTGGCTGCATTTTGCAGGGTGAGGCAGGCCTGGGAGGGAGGCTGTCTGGAGAGCATGAAGACCCGGATGGGGCGCCTTGAAGTCCAGGTGAAGGAGTGCGGAGCCTTTCCAGGCAAGGCTTCTCAGCAAGGGCGTTCAGGGTCAGATTTGGGATCTCTCTTGCCAAACGTTCCTTTTCTTTTCTATAAGAAGCCCAGTTCTCCTAAGGATTGGTGAGATTCCTCAAGGGGTGGTGGTAGGTGGGAGGGGGTCACAGGTGGCAGTGAGGTCACTTCTAAAGCTTCAGACCAGAATAAAGAAATCTTGCTGCCCCAAAGGCAGACAGACCTGAACCTGAAGAGTGTCTGAGACAAGCCTTTGGACAACACCCCCTGCTGGGTCTCAGTCCCCTGTCCCCCTAGCACTGGGCACATGGCAGCCACAGGATAGGCTCGTCCATCCATCCATCCACCGAACAGATATGGACTAAGCACCTCCAATACTTCACACTTGTAATCTAAGCACTGGCAATGCCACCAAACAAGGAGAGGAGGCTCCTGGTTTCATAGGAGCCCGCAGTTTGGATGGGGGACACCGACAACATATGAATAAACAAGAAAGAGGGGCGTTGCTATAAAGAAAAGAAAGTGAAGAGGGGACACAGGCAGTTACACTGAGATCACGGAGGAAGTGACATTCGAGCTGAGACCTGGGTGCCAAGAAATAGATGCTCAGGGAAAGTTTGCAAGTCAAAGCTACTCTTTTGTTGTTTTTTTGCTCTCTTCCTGTACTGTCCTGTAGGGAGGAGGTCACTCTGCAGCCCACACCTGAGGAGTGGGGAATTACGCGCCACCTCCTTGAGGGCAGAGTTTTCACGTAAATTATTTGGAACTCTGCTCAGGAAATGTATCTACTCTTCAATTTTTATGCATTTTTACCAGTATTTTAATGCTTACGCTTGCACTTTGGAGAAATTCAAGAGCCCCACTGGCATTTCTAGGAACCTAGAAATAGTTTATTTCAGTTACCAAAATGTAGGAAATTAGCACGTCATTAAATTGGAGGGTAGGAAAAGAGACTGTCTGTTTTTATCTTTTCTATTGTCAATACACATTAAGAAGATTTGAGAAATACCCCTAACAGAAGAGCCTCTCCCATCACCCTGTTCAGAGATGCCTGTTAGTCACATTCAGTGTATTATTTTTAATTTGTCTCTTGTGCACAGTTTTTACAGATTATACTGTCTATGTAATTTTGTTTCCTGCTTCTTCCCACCTTTTTTCTTTTGCTTTCTATCATATCAAAAACATTTCTATGTTGCTATACAGACTTCATAACTCTCCTTTTTCAATAGCTGCTAAATCACCGTGCCCTCTCCTCCCCCACCCTGCTACCAAACTTAGCATGATTACCTGGCCCATAGTCTGCATTTAGAAATTAGTTGTTAAAGAATATACAACAAAATAATCATTCTTTTGTTTTAGAAACATAGGTTATTTCAGTTTTCTTGATTCCAAATAATACTGAGACAAACAGATTATTCCCTTAGGATAGCATCCCGCAGTGGAATTAATGGGCCAACAAGGCCAAAACTTTTCAAGATAAATGCACCAAACCAGAAATCTCCCTCCCCTTCCCCACTGAACCACCGGCAATTGTGCCCAGGGTAACAATTTACAATTGATTAAAGAGTTTGCGGGGTGTGTTTTTTTCCCCCATCCTCCCCCACCCACCCCGCTCTGCCGCCCTCTCCCCCTCCCCTCCTGCCAAAAAGGGGGGAAATTATCTGAGAAGGTGAAGATGTTCTCAGACAATCATATTAACATATTCCAACAATTGCAATTTGCAAAATAGTAATCACAACTCCCGGGATCTGGGAGGCATTAATCAAAGCTGCAGGTTTAATTCCATTTTAAATATTGATGAAATGTGCTTCGGCAGCCTCACCCTGGCGTGGCGGGGCCAGGGGAGCCTCGCGCAGCGCGAAGGAGGTGGAGGGAGGGTTGGTGAGCAGCTGCCTGGAGGGGAGGCATCTGTGATTCAAATTGGTGGCTGTGCCGCCAGGTAGAGAGCGAGAGGGGTAGTGAAGAGGCTGTTAAGTCCATTGCTGTCAATTTGTAACGATCAGGGAGGGGCCTGAGGGCTGGTTTAGCACAATAAACCCAGTTTGTCTGGTTTCAGGGGTTAGCACTGAAGAGCTTGCAGCTGCACTGATTCGAATAGCCCAGAGACTTCAGAACTGTAATTATCAACCAGGCTGCTCGCGGTGTGGCAAAAGTGGGCTTCACCAGCGCTTAACTCCTTGTGTGCCGCCGCTGTCCCCGCCCCCCGCCCTGGGGTGGGGGTGGGGGGTGTTGACAGCCACACGTGGAGTCCCAGGCAGCCTCTCCAGGGGAAACTGAGGCCCACTGGCTGCTTAGGGAGGGCCTCAAAGGCCAGAGCGTGCCAGGCAGCAAGGCTCTTTCCTTAGGTCACATACAGAGAAATAGTGGGGAGGGGGCAGAGGAGGCTAGCTCTGCGGGGGCAGCCTCGCCTACCCTTATCACATCAGCCCTGGGGTGGGCAGGCTGGCTCTGGAGTCTGATGAGCCTTGGTTTGAATTCCACTGGCTGTGGACGTGGGGCAAGGCTCGTCACCTCTGTAAAATGGGGGTAACCTTCCCTATCCTGCCGGGCTATCACAAAGACTCAATGAGATGGGTGTTTGTAAAGCATGGAGCGCACAGTAGGCTGTCAGTAAGCCCCCATTTCCTGGATCCTGGGCCTGGTGCTTTTGCAGAAGAGGAAGGGGGCAGGGGAGGGCAAGGTTTGGGCCGGCCCTCCAGGTTTGAGCTCTCAGGGAGTGCCCTTGTTCCCTGGCTACTGCCATTTGTCACTGAGGAGGATGGGTAGTCCCAGGTTCCCATCCCTTAGGTGGGAGGCAGGTAAGGAGAGGAGACAAGGCTGTTCCAGTGTTATAGCCCTGAGGAGAACTGCTTGAGGGCAGGGTTTTGGGCCAATTCTCTTTGTCCCCAGGACAAGACACCGAGGGGTGAGGGTGGGACAGCAGGTGGGCTGTGCGGTGCTGTGAAAAGAACCCAGGCTTAGCAGGGAGTCTTGGTGAATGAAGTGTGTGCACGGATCCACGACCCACCACCCAGGTCCTAGACGTTCTCCCACAATCTGTGAAGGGGCGTGCCCAAGGGCGTTTGTCCCAGAGGCATTTCTGGTAACGGGAGGTGGGGGGGGGGAACCCTTGGATGTCCACCACCGGAAGGGTGGATAGTAAAACATCACAGAAGCCACCACAGAGTATTAGGCAGCAATAGGAAGCAAAGAGCTAGATGTACATTTAGCAACAAGAATAGATCTTGAAAACGTAGTGTTAAGTGAAAAAAACTAAGACACAATGAAACTCACAGCACAATGCCATTTATGGTGGTAAATTAAAGCCACATTGGTACACAAAACAACAGCACACACTTTACAGAGCGGCATGCGTTTTTAGGGACGTATATCCCAACATTAAAGTGGGTCTCTGTCGTGGTTGGGGGAGGGGTTGGGCGTGGGCTTGAGGGATAATGGGGGAAGATCAGTCCCCAAAGGGCCTTCCCCGGCCCAGAGAGAGGGCTGTGGTGTGCTGGGGAATAAAGACTGGACTTCACTCTAAGGTTTAAAAAACAGCACAGCCTTTGCAGTCAGACAAACCGAGGCTCCCATTCTGGGTTCTCCCACGCACCAACCTGTGGCTGCAGACAAGTGACCTGACCTCTCCGAGCCTGCTTATTCACCTGTAGAATGGCAGGGTTACTGCTGTCAGGGGATCACAAGGGTTAAAGTAAGGGACACCAATGAGTGTAGGGCCCACAGGAACATCGGTTCCTCCTCTCTATTGCCCACTGAAAGGACGTGAGACACCAGAGGTGTCAGGTTTTCCTGGGGAACCCAGGGTTCCCTTCTCTGGGTTCTGGAATAACCAGAAAGGAAACAAAGCTCTGAAGGCTTGGGCTGCTAGCACTACCGGCAAGGCCTGGACTGGATGTTCTGGGGGTGCCCTCTGTGGGTGTCAGACTGGTCACATTCCCAAGCAAGCTGCTGTCTGGGTGCCTGTCAGGGTTGCCCAGCTCAGAGTGGCCAGAAGACCTCACGCCTGCCTCTACCAGCACCATCCACCATCTGCAAACCCCTTTGTGTTCAATTTCCCCAAGACCAGGCATTTGTAGGCAACCGGAGGACTGTTTTAATGAAAGATCTGTTCCTTCCTAGCACAAAGCTAAAGAGACTGACCACCAAGGCCACCCACCCCATGCTGGAATGCACCGCAGTCCCGAGACCCTGTCTGCGGGTCTCCCAGGGCAGAGAAGGCCCAGCAGACACCAGGCATGACCAGCTCTTCCTCTTTCCTTGCAGATGATGATGAGCACGAGTGGATCATCAAGACGTGTCGCAAGGGTTGGGACGAAATCGTGGGTCACCGACCCAAGCTGTGAGCTCTGCAGCTGCCCCCATGAGAGGTCTCCTCTACACCGCTGGCAGTGGCTGGCCCTGCGGGCAGCCTGCGGTTGCAGACCCTGACTTTCGACCCAGGAATAAAGCCTTTCTGCACTCAGTGGCCCCAAGCATACTTTCTCGAGACCGTTTCTTAGAGAGGGGATCCTCATTTTACCAGCACCAAAATCACCTGAGCGGAAGTGCAAATTAGCTATTTCCGGGCCCCACCGTAGACATGCTGGTCAGAGTCTCTGGGAATAGGGTCTAGCGATGTGCACTCCCAGCTGCATTCCCTGATGCGCTCTTATTTCCCAGGTATTCCTCAACATCACCCCGAAGATCACATGTCAGCTGAAAACCAGAAGAGGAAGGGGTGGCACATTCCAGGGCCACACTTGGGCCACAGCATCCTGGATCTTTGCATAACTGTCCCTCCTTAGAGGCTGCTGCATTCAGCAGCCCACCCCACCCCCACTTTGTCCCTGGCTCACCAAGAGCTGCTAGAAGAAGGCAAGCCTGTGAAGGCTCTGACAAGGTCTGCAGGGGCAGGAAACTGACCCTCAAACCAGGGACCCAGAGTTGGCATGCTAGGCAGAGTTAGAAGTCAGAGGGCGGCCTGGGCACACTCAGCTGCACCATGGAGGGGTCCTGGGGGATTACCTCTCCCCTCTGGGGCAACAGTCACCTCTGTAGAATGATAGGGTTGAGCTCCACAGAGGTCTCCGAACTGTGTTTTGAAAACAGAAGGGACATTCATGGAAAGAAGCGCGCGCGCGCGCGCACACACACACACACACACACACACAACTTTTTTCAAAGAAACACACATATCTAAATCAACATTTGATAAATGGATTGGAAGAAGGGTGGAGAGGGGTGCCTGGGTGGCTCAGTCGGTCGAGCGTCCAACTTCAGCTCAGGTCATGAACTCGCGGTTTGTGGGTTCGAGCCCCACATCAGGCTCTGTGCTGACAGCTCAGAGCCTGGAGCCTCCTTTGGATTCTGTGTCTCCCTCTCTCCCTGCCTCTCCCCTGCTTATGGTCTGTCTCTCTCTGTCTCTCAAAAATAAATAAATGTTAAGAAAAAAAAAAACCTGTATCACATTAAAAAAAAAAGGGGGGTGGAGAGGGGCAGAGATGGGGTCTGGGATACTGAATAAAACAATAAAGACGGGTCCTGGGGCGCCTGGGTGGCTCAGTCGGTTAAGCATCCGACTTCCGCTGAGGTCCCGATCTCACGGTCCATGAGTTCGAGCCCCGTGTCGGGCTCTGTGTTGACAGCTCAGAGCCTGGAGCCTGCTTGGGATTCTGTGTCTCCCTCTCTCTCTGCCCCTCCCCTGCTCCTGCTCTCTCTCTCTCAGTCTCAAAAATAAATAAACATTAAAAAAAAATAAAGACAGGTCCTGCAGGGGTGATGACCATGTACATCTTGAGCTGAGGTTTATGAACAACTCTCTGCAGGGCCGGGGGCGGGGGGGCTTGGGAAGCCTCTGCACTAGACAGGGCCACTCCACCCCCTTCCTCGAGAGCTTTGGTTTGAACCAACAGTTTGTTGCTAAAAGACAAGCTGGCAACGAGCAGAAAGATGCTCTCTCTCACTCCCCAGATTGTGTTGGCTCTAGAACCCAATAGGCCAGTGTGAGACCCAGACTTGTATCGAAGCTAGAGCCTTGTCTCCCTGCCTCCCATCCCCTATTCCCTTCAATTCACCAGACCAAATTCTCCTGCAGCTTCCAAACAGGCGCTTCTGCGCTTCTTTCCCCGGCCCCCAACATCTCCTCTTTTGCACCTATTCCGTGAATCTCTCAGCGGATATATCTGGCCCAAACGTCCCCCAACCTGGCCCCCACAGCATGTCGGAGGGATCCATCTGCTATAGCATTGACCAGACTGACAGCTCCTCTGTGGCTAGTGGGCCAGGCCCTTCCCTGAGCCTGCAGACAGCGGGTGTTCAGGAGTGACACCGAGGACAGCAGCCAGCCTGGCCGCCTACAAAGCTTAGACTGGAGACGAAGCTCACTGTCATGCCTTTGCAATGCACAGGTGGCTGACTGGTTAATAGCACCGATTGTCCAGGAAGGGGGACTGCATTGTCTGACAGCCCAGACACTTGGGTGGGCCCCTGGCAGTGGCTCGGACATGGGCTTCCGGCGGCTGCGGGGCAGTTGTGGGGAGCCCTTAGCCAGACAGCAGGAAAGAAATGGAATCCCATCATGTTCTGGATTTAAGTGCCAGCACTTCTACTTGCATTAACTTTATTTATTACACAAATAGGACATTTACAAAGCACAACATGAAAGGTATGTAACAAAACAGACATTGGTTTTACAAAAAAAGTGCTTACATTTTTTTTTTTTTCCGTGTGTGTGTTTTCTCCCTCTGTTTTGTATTTAAATAAATAGTCTTGGTGGCCTGTGTGTTCCCAGGCTTCCCAGGCTGCTCTAACAGGCTAGTGGAGACCTGTCTGAATGGCAACATGCTACAACCACATGATCCACGCAAGGAACAGACCCTGGGGTGGGGGGAGGCTCAAGGCAGAGTGGGTACTAGGTGACCCACTTGGGCAGGGCTTGGCTGGCCACTTACCACATGGTTGTGCTCAGGGCTTCGACATCAGGAGCAAAAATCAAAGGAAACAGAGCTCCCCAATCACCAGGGATCAGGCCCCAGCTCCTTTTGTTAACATCAGCACCCTGTGCATGGCCAGGTACGAGCTATTCAGTGGATGAGCTCTGAACTGAGCTGCACTGACCGCATTCTGGTGCTACCTTCTCTTGGCCCCGAGTCACCTGGAACGGTCTTCAGAAGGGAAAGGAAGCGGGTTCCCGACTTGGGCTATACCTGGGCCTGGCCCTCCTCCAGGTCCCAGGGCGAGAAAGGCAAATAGGTTTTTGTTTTAAGTGCCAGCTTCAAGCATTTGGATATCGAAACCTTATCCAGACTCAGAGAGACAGAGAGATGCAATCAATTAGCGACGCCTACCACCTTTGACAACAGGGACAGCCGGTACATACGTGCCATGAACTTGCTTTCCCTGTCCTGGGGTCTCCTTCCAAGAGCAGCAGGTCAGGCTAACCAAAGCAGGAGGGAGGATTCGGGCTAGCACATGCCTACCAGCAGCCTCTAGTGGGAAATGCATCAGGACACCAAGTAATTCTGAAATTACAGGAGAAGTCTGGGACAAATGGGCGTCCCCTGAAAACATAAATCATGGTCTTGTGCAGCCGAAGCCCTTTTGTTTGGGGTGGAAGAGTTGCGGCACAGCGGGGTGGATGTGAGCACAGCTGTGTCTGGCCTGCGTTCTCGGGAGTGGGTGGGGCTGGCTCTGGGCAGGGGTGGTGGGGAGTGCCCGCTGGGATCCTAGGCTTGGCACACTCACCTCCGCAGCAGGTCCCTTCTCTCTACTCAGAGCCGGGTTCAGAATCCGCATTCTGCCATTTCCCAGGGCTCTGTTTCTCCAGCTCCGCCCCGCCTCCACTGAACGGCCCCTCCAAGGAAGACATGACCCAAACGCCCCTATCAGGAGTCAACAAGTAGCCAGTGAGGGCTCCCGATTCTAACCCCGAAACGTTCAGAAATGCCGTCGTGCGTTTCATACACCAGCTCCGTGTATATGGCTGGGTGACTAGGTAGGAACAGTCTTCCCCCTAAACACCCCGAGTTTTCTCTTCCCTCTCCTTAAAAGAGCTCGTGCCTCCCCCAGCCCACTATGCCACATGCTTCTCCAATGGGAGCCTCTGCCGCCCCCTCCCCCCGGTCCCTGCCGATCCCCTGCCTCTTGGTCTGGGCAGGGCTCCATCTCTGCCCTGCTGGGCCTCTCAGGGTTGGTCAGTGTCTCTTCTCTCTCTGAATTAACTTGACATAACCAGACAGATGGAAATGATAAAATTAGAACATAGCTTTCCTTTGGGGACATCCCACAAACACTGTAGAGTTTTCCAGACAAAAGCAACAGAGTGGATAACATTGGGGGGGTTGTCGGCTATTCAGAATTCAGAGATGGTTGCAAGGAAGTAGTAAATAAAGGCCAATATGGGAGGAAAGAAAACCTGTAAATTAGAAGGCTGTTGGCGTTGCACGGTTCAATTTGGCCTTTTGCTATTGTAATCAGCTTAAGTTGAAGATGACTCCTGTCTAAGTGGAAACACAGGCCGTTGTTTTCGCCCTGATTCCAAATTTCAGGGAGCTCTGCCTTGGGAGAGGAGGACTCCGCAGTGCTCTTGGCAGGTTCTGGTTCTCAGCAGGAGAAGGGAAGGCCAGGCCCGGGGGCCCGGCTGGCGGCGGGCGGGACGGTGGGCGAGGGGCGGGTGCGGAGCGGGTGGGCCCCTGGCAGTGGCTCGGGCACCGGCTTCCGGCGGCTGCGGGGCAGTTGTGGGGCGCCCGCGGACGGATGCGGAAGTGCCAACGGCGCTAGTACTGGAAAAGAATGACCTGCGAGAGGAGGGAGGGGGAGGGGGCTGAGCTGGAGCCTGACACCCCCGCCCTGGCCCCCTGTTGCCCCGCCCCCCCCAGAGGTCCTCTGAAGGCATGGAGAATGAGGGTGGCTCGGGGCCCAAATCTGGGCCCCAATCCTAGCTCTGTCACTCGCGGCGAGACCCTGGGCAACTCACTGACCCTCTCTGACCCCGTTTCCTCATCTGCATAACGGGGATGACAAAACCTCTCTCTCAGAATGGGGAGGGTTCAGTGAGACACAAGGGCAGCAGCACATGTCTACTGGGCACTGTGCCCTGCTCCTGGTGCCGTGTAACGTGCCTTCCTGACGTTATGTAACAGAAGACTCAACCCCATGGGCGCATCCCGCCGTTGTCTCCATTTGACGGGGAGGGCACTGAGAGGGGCAAGTCAGGAAGCTCACGATCACACAGCTAGGCAGAGGTGGCCCTGGGTCCCGCAACACAGTACTGGCCCCAGACCAAGCTCTCTTTGTTGTAACGCGTCGCTTCTGCGAGGCCATGGGGACAGTAGTCATCGACGCTCACTACACATCAGGCAGCGGGCCAAGCCCTTCACGCACTTCATCATCACCAAGCCAAAAGGCGGCCAGGTGCCTGACACACAGCGGGTGATCAGGAACTGTCTGCCCCTTTCCCTCTCCCTCTTCCACCTAAAGCACCTGGCTGACTTCTCATTGCCACCAACAAGGCCAGTTCCCCTGAAGTTCAGGTCAAGGATTGCTGGCTGGCTAGTCAATGGGAGGTGCCTTTTCATAGTAACGTGTCAGGAGGTGCTTTCAAGGGGTCCAGGGACATCCAGTAGGCATGGCCATATGGCCGTTCCATTTTCTGATCAAGAACGTTCCAGATCAGTCACTATGAGGAGGAGCTGGAGGAAAGCAATGGTGATGATCTCCATAGGCATAATGGAAATAACCAACATCTATGGGGCACTTTCCGTGTACCATGCACTGTGCCAAAGCCTTCACCTACATTATTGCATCTACTCTCAGCAACAACCTTAGGTGGCGGCAACAATAATTCTCCCCATTTTGTGGGTGTGGGAATGGAGGCTGAGAGAAGCTAATTGTGTTCCCAGGTCTCACAGTGAGAGGGCGGCAGAGCTGGGATTCAGAGGCTGGCTGACTCCAGAGCTCACACCACACTGGCTCACCCCAGTGAGCTCTTCTCTGACCTCTGGGATGCCTGGCTTTGGGCTCTTATTAAGAGAAGCTGTCTCAAGAGGGATAACTCTGGTAAGACCCTACCTTCTGTGGGCCTCAGTCTCTCCGTCTGATCAATGACAGCATGGCTCTGATTTCTAAGAGCTTTCCAAGCTCCGAAATTGTGGAATTGGGGGACATGACCAAGAAGAAGTACGGTTCTGGAAACTTTCAGGAGTGTGTGGCCAAATGACGATGCGGCGGAGGCAGGGGATGCGCCAGGCAAATGCTCAGAACACTGTCCTCCTCGCTGGGCCAGCGCTGGTCTTGAGTGGGTTCAGGGGCCTGCCCCAGGGCCTACTGAGTCTCCTCACAGCTGGGCCAGTCAGGCCTGGAGGCATTCGGGAGAAAGTCCATGCAGTCTTGCCCTGATCACACATAACCAGGTCTTGTGGGTTTGGCAAGAGATGGACAGAAAAGGTCCCCGGGAGCTGGCAGGAAGGACTGATAGGGAGAGGGTGGGAGGTCACGAAGGAGGGAGAGACATTTTTTTTCCAGAGCTGCTGGATGTGAAGTTGGGGACGAGGCCCAGCAGGAGAAAACTCTGGCTCAGCAGCCAAACCCAGGGGCCAGAAACCTTGTACAGCAAGAGCTGCCAGACCCGAGACTGGCTCATCCTTCAGACTGAACCAGACATAACCACAAGCTTAGCTGAGTAACCAGGAGACAAGGGCTTGGCTCCAAGTGCTGAGCCCAACCCTAAACATTTCCAAGGCTCCCCTCTCCGCTCCCCTCTGGGCCTGGTCCAGGCCCTTCATTATGTGACCCCTGTCACCTCCTTGGGCTTCCACCACACTAAACATCCCTCAGTCCCTCAGACCCAGGCTCTTCCATGCCTCTGTACCTTTGCACATGCTCTTTTCTTTTTTTTAACGTTTATTTATTTTTGGGACAGAGAGAGACAGAGCATGAACGGGGGAGGGGCAGAGAGAGAGGGAGACACAGAATCGGAAACAGGCTCCAGGCTCTGAGCCATCAGCCCAGAGCCTGACGCGGGGCTCGAACTCACGGACCGGGAGATCGTGACCTGGCTGAAGTCGGACGCTTAACCGACTGCGCCACCCAGGCGCCCCAACACATGCTCTTTTCTTGACATGGAATACCCTTCTTCCCATTCCCTGCTTCTCCCTTACAGCTCATCACTTCTTCTGGGTCCTCAAGGGCCATGTTCATCCGTCACCTCAACTGCCCTGCCACCCTGCTCACCTCCTGCTCTAAGCCACATCCTTCTTGAGGACAGGGACTGTGCCAGCTTGCCTCTACAGTCCCTGTGCCAGGGCTGATGGGACAAGTGCCCTCTCGCAGGAGAGTGGCAGCTTTGAGGCCGGTAGTCCTAGGATCGAGGCCAGCTCTACCCACACTCACTGTGTGATGCTGGTGAGCTCCTGCCCCGAGCCCAGGTTTCTGCAGGCGTGAAACGGAATCAGTCAGAATCATCCCCCCAGCGAGGCTGTGATGGGTGAGGTCAGAGAGAGCACTGTGTAAAGTGCTGCACAAGAGGAAGTGATGACTGACCTGTACGGACTTCAGAGTCCAACGGACTCGAGGCATCCCTGCACGCCACCCTTCTGAGCCTCAGTTTCCTTATTTTCACCACAAGGATGGCCATCCCCACACCCACAAAGTGCTTGGAAGGCATCAATCAGACAAGGTCCGTGACGCACCTGCCGTGAATGGAGTCGCTGAAGCAACAGCAGCTCTTGCTGTGAGCAGGACAATCTTGGCGGGTGTTCACGGGGCGTGCTCACCCACCACCAGTTCTGTGGGATTTTGTATTACACGCTACCATTTATTTATAAATCCATCTGGCCAGCTAGGCTGTCTGCACTACAGACCTGCCCCATGGTGCCCAGCACAGAGCCTGGCACACAGCAGATGCTCAGTCAGGAGGCAGAGTAAGCGGAGGTGTCCTGGAGGAGCGCCCCCCACCCTCTGCCTCCCCAGCAGACTCTCTAGGGGTGTGGCTGGGGAACCTGCTTCTTTATAAGCTTCCCAGGTGATTCTGAGGCACGCCGAGACGGTGCTCTGCTGGCCTGGAAGGTGTCTGGAGATCCTTCCAGCTGGAAGGCACGGGCTCAGTGTTCCTGGCCCACCACACCTGCTGACTCCTGGGGCTCCCTGCCTCCCTGAGCACTGCTACTACGATGTTTCTAAAAGAGGCCTCCATTCAATAGAACCAGAAAAATAAAATAAAATACAATAGGGGCGCCTGGCTGGCTCAGTCAGTGGAGCATGCAACTCTTGACCTTGGGGTTGTGAGTTCGAGCCCCATGTTGGGTACAGATATTACTTAAAAAAATAAAATCTTGGGGCACCTGGGTGGCTCAGTCAGTTAAGCAATGGACTTCGGCTCAGGTCATGATCTCACGGTTTGTGGGTTCGAGCCCCACACCTGTGCTGTCAGCAAAGAGCCTGGAGCCTGCTTCGGATTCTGTGTCTCCCTCTCTCTCTGCCCCTCCCCCCCTCAAAAATAAATATTTTTTTTAATTAGAAAAATAAAATCTTCAGGGGCGCCTGAGTGGCTCAGTCAGTTGAGCATCCGACTTGGGCTCAGGTCATGATCTTACGGTTCGTGGGTTCGAGCCCCACATCAGGCTCTGCACTGACAGCACAGAGCCTGCTTTACATTCTCTGTCTCCCTCTCTCTCTGCCCCTTCCCCACTCATGTGCGCGTTCTCTCTCTCAAAAATAAATAAAATAAAATAAACTTAATAAAAATAAAAATAAAATCTTTAAAACTAAATCAATAAAACAAGAGGCCTCCAGGGCCTCCCCCCCTGCCCCAGGACAGAATCCAGACTCCCCCACTGACAGCCCTGAGCTCCCCACCTCTCACTGTCCCTCCCAAGCCTGGGTGCCAGCAATGTTGAACTGCTCAGGGTTCCCCGAGAGCCATGGTCGCTCATGCTTTCTCTGATGAACTCTGATTCAGTCTTCGGGCCTGGGGGCAGATAGTGCCTCCCTCCGGAAAGTCCTCCTTGTGTTTCTCCTGAGCTGTGCCCCCGCTCTCCAGCTCCCTGGCCTCCCCCATCAGTTTGATTACACTGTGTGTGCTTCCCTTCCAGGCTGTGACCGCCTCGGAGCAAGAACCATGCTTTTTCCTCATCTCTATGCTCCTGGCAACTGACTCGGGGCTACTGGGCAAAGTCAGTGCACAGCAAATGTCAGCTGAATAAATGAGGAAGTGTATAGGTTCCCATCCGGGCTCTGGGACCTGGAGCAAGCTGGGCCTCAATTTCTCCAGTCCTAAAACGAGGGGTTGTCCTAGGACAGAGGCTTGCAAGGCTCACTGACAGGTGTCTTGCCACTGAGAGGGAGATGGGGTTTCTACCCACTCTGTGGTTTCACCCAGAGCAGCTCTATCCACTTTTATCTGTGTTATAGGTTGTGGAAAAAAATTTTTTTTAAAGTGTGAGGTGCTTAAAAACAAAGCTTTCAAACCACTGGCTGGGGCATACCTAAGCACCCTTCTGGATATTCAGTCCTGATGCTTGAGATAACCAGAGATCCCAATTACACAAAGAAGGCCCTGCCAGTTGACCAAGGTCACCCCCGGCCTGCTATTCCAGGCCTCCCCCAAGATAAGGGTATCCACTCCTAACAGACAGGGACAAAAAGGAGGAAGGAGGAAGAACGTGTATCACGTGGGATGCAGGGTGGTGTGTGACACAAGCCTTTCCTGAAACCACGAGATTTGAGCCAAGTAACTAAATTCACAAATCTGAAAAAAAGAAGGCCACTTATTGGTGGGGGGCTACGAGGAGGCCTCTGGAGGGGCTGTGCACATAGAATGTGCCGCTCAAGTGACCACCTCGGGGGCCTGGTGGGGGCTGGAGTATGCTAGGCAGAGAGGATCTACCACAGAGCAGCATGGGGCCTACCTGAGACCCATCCCTGGCAGGAAGGCTCTCACCCACCACACCCAACCTGGCTCCATTTACCTTCTCACCCCGGTTGGAGAGCGGCCCATCCATATCGGCTTTGAGGTGGACGGGAGGTGCGGTGTAAGGCAGCCGGCAGTGCACCTGCCCGCACTGTACCTGACCTGTGGACAAAAGGATGCCTTGGAACCCATCCTGCAGCCTCTGTGCAGGATACCCGTGTGCCCTGTGCTCAGCAGGATGGAGTCCTGGGGCCAGTTTCACTTTGGCCACTTACCAGCTGTGTTGGCCCTGGGCAGAACTTCAACAGAGGGTTATGAAAATCCCTATAATCTATAAAGTGCTATGTGATAACTGCCCAGCTCACTGATAAACAAACGCTCCTATGTATTTAACATCTATATGCAAGGCTGTACCCCATTATTAAGGTCCTCCCTTGGTGCCTTATACCTTCTTACCTGCCAGGTGTCACTCAGGCTTTACCTGTGTCCCTCCCAGAGGACCCTGCACTTGTACATCACCTTCTTAATGATGCTGTCCCTGATCACCCTGTTTATAACTGTACTCACCTCTACCCTCCCTGTCCTCCTTCCCAGCTTTGTTTCTCCTCCTTAGCACTTACCATCACCTGACTTACTGTAGATATCTATTGTTTACTTGGCATTATCTGTCTTTGCCAACTAGAATGCAAGGCCTAATAAGGGCAGGAATTTTTGTCTGACTCGAGAATTTTCCAGACTCTAGATCCTGATAGATTTCCAGTACCTAGAATGAGGCATGACACCTAGTAGGTCCTACACCTAGTAGGTACTCTTTGAATATTTCTGGCATGAATCTCTGTACCTTATTCCAACACCTAAAACTGTGGGGGGAAAGTCCATCCTCAGATCTGACCCGAATCTCTCATGTTTCAGTGCTTTACCACTACAGTGGAGAAGTCCATGGCCTCTCTCTTCCCTATACTTCTTCCCCTTTGGTCATAGGGGGGAAAAGCCCTGTACAGAGACTTAACAATCAATATGTAACTTAGGACAAGTCACCGTGCCTTTCTGAGTCACAGTTCCCTCATCTGTAGAATAAGGCAGTTGTATGAGATTGGGGATTCTTAACCTGGGGTATTCTAGGAGTCCTGCGATCACATGGAAAACGACATGTGTACGTGCATCGTTCTGGGGTCCGATTCCAAAGCTTTTTATCAGATTCCAAGCTCTAAGACCCCAGGAGACTCAGAATTGTGTAACTTTAGTTAACAGCAGAGCAAACTGCTGAGGTTGTCCTTCAGCCATGCAAGAGGGAGCAGGTCCAAACACTCTCAACACTTCCTGCCCCAAGCTGGGTTCCACCTCAAGGGGAAGAGGAAAGGGGACCTCAGCCCTTTCTCTGAGCGTCAAAGACACATCTAGGCTTGATTGGCAAAGTATGTGGGGAGTTCTAGCAGGACTCTGAAGGCCACGGCCCCACTCCCAAGAGGGTCACCTAGGTCCATTACCAACCCCATGGCAAGGGCTAGCTGGTAGCCCAGACTCCTGGTATCTAGAGAGTCCTGGGTCCTTGGCACCTTTAACAGATGAACTAGATGTTCAATGGGCTCTGTGCAGCTTGAACATAAGTCATTGTTTAGAAAAGAAAGGAAGAAAAGTCCCTCCTACAGAGCAGGTGGCTCAGAAATGGAACAGCGCAAACGGACATGGTTTCCAGCAGGCTGCCTGGTGCGGTAGGCAGGAATCTGCACTTCCAGCTGTGCCAGCCAGAGCCACCACCACCATTACAAGAGCGGTTAATAGTTACCCAGCATCTACTGAATGCTGGAGACTTGAAGTCAGTGATCTCATCTGATGCTCACACACTGCTCTGAGATATGGATTCTTATTGTCCTCGTTTTTACAGATGAGGACATTGATATTCAGGGAAGCTACCAAGCTTGCCTGATGTCACACAGCTAGTAAGTGGCAAGGATGGCATTAGAAGCCTGACAGTCTCACCCCAAAGCCCACAATCAACCATTAAGGAACACTGCTCCTGTTCACTTACGTGGACCCTTGGTTTTCTCGTCTGCACAATGAGACAGTGATGTCTGATGTTTACAAACACGCTTAGTAGAGTGCCTGGCACATGGCCGGGGCTCAGTAAACAGCAGGGCTCTCTCTGACCCCTCCTTCCCTTTCCATTTTACTTGGAGCCAGAGAAGGGAGGATTCATGTTTGTGGGTATGTTGTGGCCACTTCTATTTTTCTGGTCACACCCAGCTTTGAGGAAACAAACAAGCTCAACGGGAATGGAAATCTGTAATAAGCACCTGCTCCCTAGCAGATTCACTGAATGTTCATCCCCCAGAAATCCACAAGGCTACTCCCTCTCTCCTTCAGGTCCCTGCTCAAAGGTCACTCCACCTTGGCCCACTCCATCATTCCCATGGCATCCAGTCCCACTGACATGCCAGCCCTCCCTCCTTTATTAGTTGATTGTCTCTCTACCCATGTCCCACTCCAGAACGTGAGCCCCCGGAGCACAGAGTTGGTCTGTTATGTTCTCCGCTGTATCCCCGTGCTTAGCATGGAAAAGTATTTACTGAACACATCAATGGATTCTCACAACCCTGTGAGGTAGGCATTGTTAATGTCCCAGCTTACAGATGAGGATTCTAAGGTTCAATGAGGGTAGGTAGGTGGGGATACTCCCACCACATGGGCCTTCTTCTGCAACCCCAAACACACCCATGCCACAATGCTTTCCCGGCTAAGGCCTGCTTGCATTCATCTCCTCTGCTGCCCTGCACTCCTGCCTCCCCTCTCCTGGTGCCTCACTAATTCCTATCCATCCTTCCACTCTCAGCTTGCTGAGAGGCGTCATCTCCACACATTCCTATATTCCTATATTCCAGCACTTTTCCTATAGCAATCATCACAATTAAAACCATGCCCTCATCTGTCTGGTTATCGTGCCGTGTTATCTCTCCCACGACAGCGCAGGTCCCACCAGAGCAAGCACTTTACCCGTCTTGTTCTCTCCCTAGCCCCTGGGCCCTCGCACACAGTGGGTACTTGGAAGGTGTTTTTTGAATGGCGGAATGGGTTTTCTCTATGAAGGGTCCCGTCTCACTAAGGCGGAGACTGGGAACTTAGCCCCTCTCCCCAAACCCTAGGTCTGAGGGACCACAGAGCCCACGTCTTCACCCACCAGGCTCCGAAAGGCCTTCACCCACCACGCCTCCACCTCCCGCGCGCGCTCCTCCGTGACCCCTCGCCCGCAGGCTAGGCGGTCTAGCTGTGGCGGTCACTTACTCTCAATGTAGCCGTGCAGGGTGACCATGCGCGCCCGCTCGGGGCTGCTGAACGGGGAGTAGTGGATGTCTTCGGACAGGGCGGAAGGGAGGCGGGACGGCGGCGCCCCGGAGGGCGGCACGGGATGCTGCGGTGTGTGCTTTTTATGACGCGCCCGGCAGTTTTGAAACCACACCTGGAACGACAGCCTCAGCAGCCTCAGCCTCGCGGAAAAGGGTCGGACACACCGCCGGGAGACCCCAGGCGGGACTGCCTCGTTGCCTCCTGGGTAAGGGCGGCCACGTGCGCCCGGGCCTGCGGCTCAGCTGGAGACCATCAACGCGCTGGAGAGCCCGCCCCCGGCCCCCTAGGCCCCGCCCCAGACCCGAAGGCCCCGCCCTCCCTCGGCCCCACCTGGATGACCCTCCTGCTGAGGCCCGTCATGTCCGCAAGCTTCTGCAGCGTCTGTGCGTCGGGGTTGTTGTCCTGCGCGAACTGCGCTTGCATAACCTGACGGGAGCAAAAGGGACAGTGAGACAGGGACGCGCGGAGGTCTCCCAGACTGCGGCCCAATCAGAGGCTCCGGCCCGGAGGCCACGCCCCAGACAGCTACGGCCCCTCCCCGTCACCCGCGGGTCCGGGCAGAGGGGGCGGAGCCAGAGGTCCTCTAGGCCCCGCCCACGTCTACGCCCCACCCACAGCCCCGGCCACTCCCGGCGGGCCCGGGTACCTGCAACTGCTCAGCGGTGAAGGATGTCCGCGCGCGCTTGGCCGGCTTGGGCTGACTGTCCTGTTCCGAGGGCACTGCCCCCTCCAGCGTGAGGCCGTTCCCTGGGGGTGACAGAAGTGGCTGACCACGCGTCCCCATCTCTTCTAGTGGCATCCTGGAAAGGACGGGGGTGGGGGCAGCTGGTCCCTGGAAGGGTCAGGAGCGGAGTTGGCTGGGAGCGGGGATCCCAGAGTCCTAGTCCCTGAGCTCTGTCTTTAGGTAAGGGGCTTTCATTTCTGAGCGTCTACTCAGTACCAGACACTGCTCCTTCGGTGTGCCTTTTGGGTCTGTCTCACAGCCCCATTTTACAGCAGAGGAAAGAAACTAAAGCTCAAAGAGAAGAAAACCCCTGACCAAGACCTTTCGCCTAGTGGTTGACCCTAGCGCCCCAAGGGGACTCCCTCTTAGCTAAACTGGGGAAACCAAAGGCCAGTGGAGGTTAAGATGCAAGCAGGTTACAGAACTGCGGTTCTAATTTTGTAAAAATGTATGGAAGCAGAAAAGTTGAAAGGATATACGCCAAGGTGCTAGCAGTGGTTACTTCTGAAGAGTGCAATTATGGCTCTAGTTTCAATATTTCTGTAAGTTTTGAGGTTGTAACAACAATCACATGTCCCTTTATTTCTCCAAGGTTTAATTTCATTAACTGGAGCATATGTTAGCCATTCTCTTTCCACTTCTATTACTTTTACAATCACACTAAACATAGTCCCCCATTTTATTTTTAATACCTGATTTTTTCTAGGTAATACATGCTCCTTCTCAAAAACTCAGAAAATTCAGGTAAGCACAAAGAAGAAAATAAAAATCACCAGTAATTCCAGCACTATTCACACAACTAGCTGTAATTTTTTTTAATTAGGAAGAAGACTATGTTGGGGGGAAAAAACAAACAAACATGCCACCATAAATACATGGAGGGAAATCTGGGAAGATATATACTAAAGATATGAGAGGTGGTGACATTTAGAGTGATCTTTATTTTCTTCTTTTTGCTTAACCATCTTTTCTAAATTTTCTATGATGGACGGGTGTGTTTAAAAGAAAACCAGTAACCAAAACTGAGGGTTGCTCAGTAAAGGAGATCTGAGGCCCCAAGCCTTCATGGTAGGAGTCTGGGGTCAGCCTAGATGTGAGAGTTAGCGTTGTAACTGGCCAGGCTGTGGGAAAGAGTGGCCCTGATAGGTCCAGATGTGGAAGAAGCCTGGGGTCACTGATGGGCCATGGTATGGGGGGAGCCCTGATTCCTGAGATTCCATCCCAGCGCCACTGCTGACTTGCCCACCACTGTGGGTAATTTCATACAACCCCAGCCTCATTTGCTTCCCACCTAGGCCCACTTAGTCCTGATCCTGGCAGGAGAAAGTGATAGCCTTGGTGTGGCCATGGTTTGGAACATTCTGGGGATTCCTGACTAGTCCCCAGGCTAGAAATTGAGGCAGGGTGGTCCACACACCTCCCAAGAGGCCCTGAGGCTGGGACAGACACTTTGTGGTATTAATGTCCCTTAGGAGAACAAGGCAGGACAAGGATTGCTGTGCCATCTTTTAGATGGGAAAGTGAAACTTACAGGGGCAGCCACCTCCCAGCAGTCTCCCTTGCTTAATGAGGCCTGATTAAGCGGTCCCTGGAGCTCAGGAATGGGGTAGTATGGGATGGTGGTTAAAAGCCTGGGCTTTGGAGTTAAAACAGACCTTCTAGGATGCAACCTTTGGCAAATCACATACTGAAGATAACCTCTGCCTATTTCCTCATCTGTAAAATGGGGACACATCAGCTACTTCCTAAGGTTTTTTTGTAAGGATCACACAAAATAGTCCACATTACAGAGAAGCTAGCAGCTTCCAAAGACCCAGACAGGAAAGTCATGGAAAGGGTCCCTGACTCCGCCTTCAGCCCAGCCTCCATTCCACCCCCCCACCCCTTTCTAACCATTTGTAACTCGGTCCTCACAATTCCTGGAAGATGTGAACCCTGTCTGCAGGCCTATGTGTCTTGAGGAGACACAGTATTGGAGCCAGAAGAGATTTAGGGATCTTTCTAGTTGACCCATCTCTCTTGCACAGATGGGGAGACTGAGGCCGAGATAAGAAAGGAAACTTCACATATCAGTACAGCATGCCAGCAGCCAAACTGGTGTCAGATCTCCAGACTCAAAGGCCTTCTCCCTCACAGTGTAGGCTGAACCCCGTCCCCCAAACCTCTGGCTTGGAGCTGCTGGCATGGGAGTTGGGAGAACAGAGCTGCATCATCTCTCTAGGACTGGCCCATGCCCAGTTCCAGGCAGCCTGAAGGGATTAGCCCTCAGGCCAACCAGAACTGTCTAAAGGTGGAGTAGGCTGCCCCATTGTGAGAATCAGCTCTAGGGTTCATTGGGTGCTTCCTGCCTTTACAACACATGGGCTCATCTATCTTTGAGAAGGTGTCTTATCATTGGCTCCATTTTACAGATGAGGAAACAGTTGCAGAGACAGACTACCACTGCAGGCTCTCAAGCAATGGTGGGCCAAGAGCGCATGCGCCGTGCACGGCCCCACGCCCACTCAGTCTCCAGGCAATAAAGGAAGCGCCTGCTCCCAGAGGAGTGTGGTCAGTTCCTGGGGAGCTGGGCTGAGGTGGGAGAGGGCGGGGCACAGAGGTGTGGCAGGGTGCTGGGTGGGGCGGGTTGGGTACCGTTCTCGGCGGCCCTCTTGAGGTTCTCGATCATGGTGTCGTAGTGGATGCGGCACAGCACCTTCTCTTCGACCAGACCAAACTCCTCGCCCGTGGACAGCTGGCGCTTGCACGAAAAGCAAGCGAAGCAGGCCAGATGGTAGGCGTTGCCGCGTGCCCGCCGCACCCAGTCGCTGGCATAGATCTGTCGGCCGCACCGTGCACACTTGGTCCCAAATCGGCTGCGGGACACCGGGGCAGGAAAGGGGGTGGCGAAGCTCAGACAGGCTACCCCTTCCACCTCCCTGTGGCCCGCCGGCACCCTGTCTCCTGGCCTCCCTCACTCACAAATTTCCCTTTGCCTGGATCTGCCCCCTACCCCACCCCCCTGCAGACACCAGCTTACTCTGAAGGTGAGCTGGTGGGTGGTTTTATTTTCTTCTTAGTGCTTTTCTGAGTTTTCCAAACTTTCTACAATGACTCCTTATATTTATATATAACTAATCTGTTCACTCAAATATATCCTGAGTGTTAGGGAAAATGTAATAATATAATAACGGGCAAAATTTTGAGCACTAACCACGTGCCCAGCAAGATTCTAAGTGTTTTATGTTGCGTATCCCAACTAATCTTCATTTTGCTGATGAGGAAACTGGGGACCAGAGAGGTAAAGTAAGTTGCATAAGGTCACACAGCTTGCAAGGCTAGAAACCCACGATGAATAAACCGTACCCCAGCTGTAGAGATGCTCAGGGTTTCTTGGAAGCATAGACAGATATGCACTTACGGGCTTTGTGCCCTTGGGAAAATTATTTAACCCCTCTGAGTGCTCACTTTCCTTGCCCTGAGCTGAACTAGGTGACAACAGCAATGACTACCACTTAGTACTTAGTACTTTGAGTCTAAGTACTATTTGAGTCTAAGTCTATTAAGTACCCAGCCAGTCCCAGGCTCTGGAGCCCCATGGCATTCTAACAGTAAATGTTAAAATGACAAAAAAAAAGTGGGGGGGGAGGGGCAGATCGAATGCTTCCTCCCCCTTAAGCCTTCCTTGTTGGGCCTTTTCCCCATCTTCTCCCACCTCGCGGTGCAGCTATTTGGGTATGACTCCCTTCACCACCAGACTTCGAGCCCCTCCAAGAAGAAGCAGGAGTCTGGTTTATCCTGTCCCAGAAGTCAGCCCAAGGCCTGACCCCTGAGCACCTGGGAAGGTTTGTTCCTTAAGTGGATGACTCATCCTTTGACCCTGTCCCAGCCCTTTAGGCCTCGGTTTCCTCTGCTGCACACTCTTTCAGGGGATGATGTTACCACTCATCCAGCCCCCCAAGCTTAGAAACCTAAATCATTCACTCCTCCCTTTCCTCAACACTACATCTAACGGATCATCAGGCATTGTTGGTTCTTTTTCCTAAGTATCTTTGGGATCCATTTCGTCTCCAGTCCCACAGCTGCCCTCCTAGGCCAGTATCTGCCCTGATCTCCCTGCTTCCAGCACCACCCCTGCCAACCATTCCTCCACACAGTGGCCACAGAGAAGTTTCCAGCACGCACGGTGCATCCTACCCTGCCCTGCTTAAAATCCTTTGCTGATTCCACTCTACCTCAGGATCTGGTCCAAGAGCCTTGGCATTTACAAAGCCCAGAAGACCATAACCTCTTAGACTCATCTCCTCCCTAACTTTCCCCACCCCACACCCAAACAGGAGTCCCAGGTAGCCACAATGGAAGGTCAGTGCCAGGTCTCTATGGCCCCCTCTGAAGCACTTTCCCGGCCCAGGTCTTTGCACAGACTTTGTGCTCTTCACACACCCCCTCCCTGCAGAGCCCTCCAGTCCCAGCACTGGGCTCTCAACATTGGTCAGGCAGGTTTGTAAATGTCAGATTCTTCGGTTCTCCCTCCCACCCCCTGCAATCCTAGGAGAGAACCAAGAAGATTTGCCCTGTGTCCCCAGGGCCCGCACACTTGCACCCGGAGGAGCATTGGGAAATGCTTGTGACTGTGGGGAGAAAACAGCCCGGCAAATGCACTCTGGTTACAGCCTCGCCTGTCTTGCCGAATGCAAGCAACTGTCAATTGAATAAACGATCTTGGGTTGAACTGAAAGAGGGAGCGCGGAGGCCTCCGCCAGCCCGGCTCCCAGACGTAACTCTAACACCACTGTCTCTGACCAGGACCGCAGGAGGACCCTGTCCCTGGCAGCGCGGTTTGCTCAGCTAAGGCTGCACTGTGCGCCTTTGCTGGGTCATCCGCCCCTAAACTGAGGCGGCTCCCGACCTTGGAAACTCGGCTTCCCCAGGGACAGCCTAGTACAGCCCGCGGTTTCTTTCCCAATCCCTCAGTAAAGGGGAGAGGAAACCGCTTAGCCCACCCCTGCCTACTCTCGCCGCGGGGCGGACTGGGGGTTCCGCTGCCCGACTCGTTGTACACGGATTAGGAGCACTTTCCGGCCCTGGAGAGGAGGGAGAAGCCAGCAGCGTGCCGAGCCATGAAAGCGATTCAGGGACCCAGGGCGCAAGGTCTTCATTGCACCCCCTCGACTTGGTGCAACCGCGTGAGGTGGAGACTCTAGCACCCGCTTTGCACACGTGGAATGGGAGGTTCAGAGCGGACAAGTGACTTGCCCAAGACCACAAAGAGCGTGGGGCGAGGGGCGAGGTCCGCTCTGAGGTGCAAAAGGAACCTAGACCGTGCTGAAGCAGCAGGGCGGGAGATGGTAGGGACTGGATCCCAGTTGTATTAACTGGAAAGGGACCTGGTCTTACCCCCGTCGCGTCCCTACTCCCAGCCACCGGTCCCAGAAAGTCCCGCGCGTAGGGCCTGAGGCCCAGCGGGCTAGGGAAGGCAGAGTGCGTTCCCAGGGAGAGGGGAGAGCCGGGGAAGGGAAGGTCCCCGGCCTTCAGACTCCAGGTGAGAGCGGTTGCGTTTCCAGCCTGTGGTTTCCGTGCGCCCCCGCCCCGTGAGCTGCGCCAGAGTCTCCGACCCCGGGTCCCCGCGCTAGACTGTACGGGATTCCTCGTCCTCCGCCAGAGATGAGTCCACGACACCCCGCACACCCCTGATCTCCCGGCTCCCCAAGTCCGCAACGCCGGGGCGCGGTCAGCGCCTACACTGTGCACTGCTTACTCCGAGGAGGACGCCGCGGGTGATCTCTCAGCAACTTTCTCACCCTCCACATGTCACCCCAAACGACAAGAGCTGTCCCCAGCCCTAGGATCTGCCCGCGCTCGCCGTGGCTCCGCCCAGTCAACGAAATCACCTTTGCGAAGGATCCTTGGGTGGGGGTGGGGGTGGGGTCATTATGCAGTTTTGGGTGCGTTGCGGGCCGCTCCTGAAACGTATCCTCCACCCAGGGCAGGGGTCAGTGGCACAAACAAGGGGGCACGAGGAGGCTTACGGATCGAGGCTCTGACAAACCGATTGACTCCTTCCCAGGCGGGCAGCGAGGCCCGAGCCGCGGGATTCCGGAAGCAGCGAAATTGGCGGCGAGACAACGAAACTTCAAGAATGGGGTGCTCGGGAGCTGCGAAGGGAGCGCCAAAGGGATTAGGGGGCGCGGCTACCGCCCCTCCACCCCCAGCCTTGTGCGCGCGCCTCCCTGGGTCCCGGCGCGCACCGCGGGGTAAAGGCTCCAAGGACTGAGGCGCTCGGGGCATGGACGCTTCGCATCCTGGCAACTGCCGAAAGGAGTGGGGTGGGCATCGCGCGTCTCCTTGCCCTCTCTCCCCTGAGGAGGGACCAGAGACGTCTGGGTACTCGCGGTTGTGCAGAGGGAGCTGTGCGCCCTTGGCCAGGGCAAACTCGCTCTTCTGGCCTACTTTCTCTGGATACCGAGAGGTGCTCAGTCATTATTTGCTGGGTGAATGAGCCTCAAACGAAAGAGCCTTTCCCCCGTATTAAGCTACCCGAAGCTGAACCGAAGCTCGAGTGGGAAGGCCAATGTTAGTTATAAAGCCGGTGAGCCGGTGGGGAAACTCAAACCAGAATTCAATTATTTTACGTTCAGGACACTCAGTTGCTGGCCGTGGGGAGATTCTAAGAGTCCAACAAGGTGGATTGGAGGTGGAGCCCTTCCTATCCCCTCTGCTCCTTCCCTTCTAGGCAAACTCTTAGGAGAAGAAGCTCAGAAAAAACAGAACCAGCAATTACGAGGTTAAAACGCCCCGCGCCTCGGAGGTCCCGGCCCTAGGCCCCTCCCCAGAACTCCTCTCTCCGCTCCCCCAACATCTGTCCCCCAACAGCTGGCGGCCGCTGGGCCGCTCTTTGCCGCGGTGGGGGGCCGCTTCCCAGCTATAAGCCTCCCTGGGGACCCTCGCTCTGGGGGAGGGGGTGGGTTTCTCCCGCAGGAGCCCGCGGTTGGAGCTTGGGCTCTAGGAGGAAGGCCAGAGAAAGCTGAGGGCTTGCCCTAAGTCACATGGGCCAAGCCAGGGACAGGAACTTCAGCCGGCTGCCCGAGCCCAGCCCAGGACACTCTCTGAACCCCACCCGTATCAACGCCAAGAGCAGTAGTTAACCCTTTATTCCCCACTCAAATGGGCAGGAGGCAAGGGGGCCAGGAACCATGGTGACCTGATCCTGACAAAATTGATCTAGTCACAGCCCCTGAGGAAGTCACTCTTGTCCTAGTCCTCCCAGGGCCCATCCAGGGAGAGTCACACACCAGAGCTGGTGCTCCCTGTGGAAGCCAACGGAACTGGGCTTAGGGCTTAGGGCCAGGAGAGAGGGGTCTTTGCCACTCCACCGGCCACATGTTGTAGGGAGAGCTACTGCTGACACATCTCCCCTATAAAAGACCAGTACAGAATGTTTAGACACAGGGATGGTGGTGTCCACAGCCATGGGGCTTACCCAGGCTCTGCCACTTACTAGCTGCATGGCCTCACCTCTCAGACCCTCAGTTTCCCCTCCTCTAAGGTGGGGATGATGAGAGTATGGTAATTACCGGGTGGATTTGAGGATTCACTGGGATAAAGCATGCAATGAGTTAACAATTCCTGGCTGGAGCAGAGTTCTATACATTCTGGTGAGCAGTATCCTCACCCCTGCCCAGCCCCTCTTACCCCCTCTCACTGTGTGACCCTGGGCTCCACTTTCCTCTCTCCCCAGGACATCAGTCTCCCCAGCCATGCAATGGGCATGATGCTTCAGGAAGCTGAAGGGGGAGGCACTGTAGATCAGTCCATGCCCTGGACTGCTGCAGGCAGCAGCGGCAGGTGTGTGTGT